AGGTGTGTTTCCCTTCCTGTGTTTTGTCAGGATGGCATTTGAGGCCGCCTGACCCCATGCATGAGTTCTCGGTTTGCTGTTTCCTTTAATGGGGAACACGTTTTCATTAATAAATAGTTCTTTATTAACGTGTGTGTGTGTGTGTGTGTGTGTGTGTGTGTGTTCACAGTGGGAGAGGGCACACGTGCAGCCTGTACATGGAGGTCAGAGGATAACTGGGTGGATTGCACTAAGGCCCAGCCTTGTTCACCAGCTCCTTTGCTGTCGAGCCATCCCTCTGACCTCTTCATAACTGTTTAGTAGAAGAGTTTGGGATGAGAAATTTACAGACTTTGAAGTCTTGACTTCATCGTCACACTTAAATGCCAATTTAACACAGGACAGAAAGATTAGGTCCCCGGCCATTTCCTCTCCGAACATGCCCGGCCCGCCATTTGCCGATACCCACTGCTGCTGCCGAAAAGTTATCGGTGTGTGGCTCCCTCCTCTGTCGGGGCATTTGTTTCTCTGGAGGCTTAGAAAAGTCTCTCGAGTTCCTAGCTCCGATGGTTCCTTTCCTCCTCACTTTCACCAGCTAGCTTTTCCTTCTTTTCCCTTTGTTCTCTCTCCAGAATTTCTGTGTGGTCAGTGCAGCGCTGGGGCTGTCTCCTGGAGCACAGGCTCCCACACCTCTCAGGACTTACCGTGTTATCTTGTGATCCGTTCACTGGCAGTTTCTGATTGCTCTTACACTCCTTCATTCTGCCAGATAATTTCCTGCTCAGCTTATCTCCTTCCCAAGATTAACTTCTTGTTGGAGGAGGCAGTGTTGAGCCAAGGTCTCCTATGTAGCTCTGGCTGTCATAGCACTCACTATGTAGACCAGGCTGGCCTAGTGCTAGGATAAAAGGCGTGAGCTATTATGCCAGGCTGTGATTAAGTTTTAGGTATTGTCATGTGTTTTAGATTTGTTGTTCGTTTTTTTTGTTTTTTTTTTTTTTTTTTTTTTTGAGACAAGGTTTCTCTGTGTAGCCTTGACTATCCTAGACTTGATTTGTAGATCAGGTTGGCCTCGAACTCAAAGAGATCTGCCTGCCTCTGCCTCCCCGAGTGCTGGGATTACAGGTGGGATTACTACTGTGCCCAGCTTGTTTTAGCATTTTTAGCCTCTATTTTCTCTACCAACTTTGGCTTTTGTGACATTAAAACTGTGTGTTCATGTACACGTATGTGTGTCGGCAGGTGCACGTGTGTTCACATGTGTGTGGAGGCCAGAGGATGGTCTTGGATGTCAGTCCTCAGGAACCATCACCCTGTATTTCTTTTTTTAAAAAATTAGATTTATTTGTTTTGTGTGTGTGTGTGTTGCCTGCATGTATGTATATGTACCATGTTTGGGCCTGGTGCCTGGGAAGGTCAAAAGAGGGCATCATATTCCCTGGTGCTGGAGTTACGGAGAGTTGTGAGCCACCTGTTGCATTCTGGGAACCAAGCCTGGGTCCTCTACAAGAGCAACACATACTCTTAACCCTGAGCCATCTCTCCAGCACCCCCTTTTAAAAAATGTTTTTATGTATTTTTTAAATGCTGAGTGCTCTGTCTGCGTGTACACCTGCGTGCTAGAAGAGAGCATCAGATCCCTTTACAGATGCGGGTGCTGGGAACTGAACTCGGGACCTCTGGAAGAGCAGCCGGTGTTCCTAACTGCTGAGCCATCTCCCCAGTCCTTTTTGGTAATTTCTGAGTATGGTCTATGTATGTGTGGTGTGATATGGGTGTTCGTGGATGCTTGCGTGGAGGCCAAACTAGGATTTCCTGTGTCCTCTATTATGCTGCACCTTACTCCTTCGAGACAGGCTCTGTCACTGAACGGGAACTATCTGGTGGCCGGCAGACCCAACCATACTCTGTCTCCACCCCCTCCACCTCCACCCCCTGTAACTCTGGAGTTACAGGCATCTAGGCACACCAGGCTCATCTTGTGGTTTGAGACATCGCTTACCATGGAGGCTAGACTGGCCAGCGGACCTCCGGGGTCGGCCTCTCCCACCTCCCCAGGGCTGGGATCATAAACGGTGTCAGGCGTCAGGATTCTTACCAGGGGTCCAGGGATCAAAGCCAGGTCCCTGTGCTTCTGCAGGGAGCCCTTTACTGAGCTCTGTCCCTTGCCCATACAGCTAAACTCTTCTGTGAGGCCTTTGGGTTTTTCACCTAAGGTAGCGCGCTTTTCACTGCTGTTTTCTTTAGATAATTTGCATTTTCCTGTTCATTCAAACAGCACATCTTGCAGGTTCATGAAGACATTAAACTTTCATAGTAACCTCTGACGATTTTAAATCCAGTATGGAGGCTCTCTCTATCAATGTTTATGAGCCGCCTTCCTTCAGTACAGATGGGTTTTTCCTGTCCCTTCATAAGCTTATCTATTTTTTTTAATCATACACGGGACACTGTAGATATTCTGCCAACACTGGATTTTAATTCTTCCGTCTGAAGGGTAACTTTTTTCTTGCATACTGGCTGGACTTTAGTTATGGTATCCAAATCCATCTCTACCAGGAAGAGAGCCCGCTCTCTCCAGAGCAAGGTTTGGTCTGTCCACTGTGCAGCAGTGAGATGCATTTTGGAAGACTAAGTAGCAGACAGAGGAGTGAATGTTCCGGGATGAGGGGGGCTGAGCGCAGGTAACCGACAGCACTTAGGAAAGAGGACACAGAGCTAGTGTTCTTGTATTTATAATTCTGTCGTGGGGTTTTCAGCTTGGGGAGTGGACAGCTGCAGAGACATCCTCCCCGATTGCTGAACACGGGATTGCTGAACACGGTGCCACACGTCTGTGGTCCCAGCATCGGGAGGCGGAGGCAGGCGGATCTCTGAGTACAAGGCCAACCTGGTCTACTGAGTGAGTTCCAGGACAGCCAGAGAGAAGCCCTGGCTGTCAGAGTTACACACTGTCCAAAAACCAAGACAAACAAACAAACAAAACCCCAAAAACTTTTGATGGTTAAAGCGTAAAACCCATGTGACACTCCACAGCTTCAGAATGGCTGTGTTTGCTGCTCATTGTTCTAACTGTATAAAAGTTCACTGAGATGGGTAGACTTTGGGTCTGGTTAATTTTGGTGTCTAATATTTATTGCAAGGGTTTTTTTTTCCCACAATAAAATTTATAAAACTGAAAATTAAAAATAATTAGGAGGAAAATCTATAGTATATTGATAAATAGGAATCAAACATAAATGCAAACAATGAAGAATCAACAGGTGGTTTGGATTTTCTTAGTTACATGAAATTTGAAGCTTTCAAAACTGTGTGATTCCTTGAATGTCTGGCTTGGCAAAGCTCTTAATTGGAACAAGTGCTTATTGTAAAACTGAAATATTGTGCTGGGCGCGGGTCAGGCTGTAATCTCAGCCTGTAGGAGGATCTTGAGTTCAAGGCCACTCTCGGCTACAGAGAAACAGAAGGGAAAGTAGACTTGTGAGAGAATTGTGTGCCTATGAGATAATCTGTCTTAGACGGAGAAGGTACTAGCATTCACTCCTGGGTTTGAGCCCTATCACCACATAAACCTGTCACCTTGGCACATGCCTATAAACCCCAGCACTCAGGGTCATCTGTGGCTACATAAGTCTGAGGCTAGCCTGGGCTACTTGGGACTCTGTCTAGAAAAACAAACAAACAAACAAACAAACAAACAAGGTTCTTTAATTTTTTCAGAACTATTTACCACTGACTGCACTGCCACTTGTATACACTTAAATAAAGAGAAGGGGCTAGAGAGATGGTTCAGAGGTTAAGAGCACTGGCTGCTCTTCCAGAGGTCCTGAGTTCAATTCCCAGCAACCATATGGTGGCTCACAACATCTATAATGTTATCTGGTGCCCTCTTCTGGTGTGCAGGTGCACATGCACACAGAACATTGTATACATAATAAATCTTTAAAAAAAGAAAAGAGAATGAGAAGGCAGCAGGACAGACTGAGAGATGAAGACGATGAAGGTAGGTCAATAATGAGTTTCAACCCCTCTTTTTTTCCCTATCATTTTGGGAAGCTTCTCAGAAGCTAATATATTTTGGGGAAAAAAAACCAACAAAAGAACAAATCAAAGAATTATGAAGAGTAAGAGGTACAGAGAACAGCAGAGGATGTTCAAGGAATAGACTATTGAGAAAATGAAGCTAAGGGAAAAATAGCTCTAATAGGATAAATGTAAGCCTTTCATGTATGGACCTCTCCCTTCCCCTCCTCCCTCTCTCTTTCAGACAGTGTCTCCCTTTGTAGCCTGAGCTGCCATCAGAGTCATGACCCTCCTGCTTCTACCACACCAAGCTTAGACCTACTTTTCACAAAATTTGTTTAAGTGGAGGACTCAAAATTATATAGTGCCAGGTAATTTTATCACTTGGTTCCGTCAGGATTTTAATAAGGAAATCTCACACTGAAAGGTAAAACTTATTTCTCTGCCTTTTCATCCAAATCATAAGCCACTGAAGTCCAAATTTACTTAATCAGTCCTAAGCTTCATTCACCTGACAGTCAGCCTTAGACTCAGACTTAAATTACCCTAGAGGTCATAATCGTGACCACTAGGAAGAGTTGGGTGGGGCAGGGTCAAGGTTGGGGTCACCTAAAGCTGCCTAGGATTGGCCAACTGCTCCTGGGTGGAGAAGTCGCCATTAGCTCATAGATTACACCTGTGCATCCCAGAGCTGGTAGAGCTTGTGTTTGCCCCGTCTCCACAGGACAGATAACACGACCAGTCAAACCCCTTCGTCGTTTGGAGGAGCGCTTACACCAGCTATCCGGGTGAACTCGGAAGCTGCCCCTGGCCAGAGCCACCTGGAGCACCTGCCACATCGACTAACAGGCCAGGCCAGGTTTGCCCACGGAACGTTATCCTGGGGGTGGGGGCGGAGGAGACCATGGACAGAATGGGTGGCCAGACACTGGATTGTCACTGGAAAAAGACAAGGCAGCAAAACATGCTTGTAAGAACACATACTCGATGGAGTAGGTGGAATTTGTTTAATGTAAGAAAAATTAGAGGCCGTTTATATAGTGTGTAATGGACCCAGAGTACTGGGAGTCAGAGCACAGAGACACGAACGTACAGACACCAAAGCGCACACATACACGTCAATTTTCCATTTAGCGTCTTTACAGCTTCCTTTTTTAACCTCACAGCAGCACTCGGGTTAGAAGGGTCTAGCAGATTCCGGCTATAGGATCCTATGCTACTGAGAAAACAGATGGCTGGCGAGACATCCTTGTCTTCTCTCAGGCGGTGTGTGCATTCATGAACAATGGAGGCTTTGGAAGCGGATGTGAGATAATACGGTCACACCAGAAAAAAACGGTACAGGCTTTCACAGACTTAATTCTAAACCTAAGGCTGATGAGTGCACAGTTTTCACCCCCTCCTTACGCTCCCTCCCGTGTCCAAAAGAGGCCAGCTGAGCTGGGTCACCATCTCATGTGGCAGCGTGTTCCAGGGACGTCACGGAAAGAGGTGGCTGACTCGGCAGCCTGGGCGCCGAAGTCTCGAGGGCTGCGTCTCCTTGAAGAAAGACCTTGCCTCATCAGGCCCGGCTTAGAGGGGAGAGGTTGGGGTGGGCTTTTCGGAGTGGGAGAGCCGGCTGGGCAGCCCTTTCCTCTTACTGGCGCGTTACACGGCCTTCAGGCGGATGTCCCCACAGGGAATCTCTGTTGGTGTTTCAGGAGTGATACTTTTGATAATGCGCTGTGGGGAAGAACACGCAGTGTTCTGAAGCCTCATTGAAGAGATATTTCAGCATTAATATTGAAACGTTGGACAGTATTTTAATGGCAATTCATAATAAGTTGGAATAGCCTCATTGCCCTCTAAGAGAGCAATTCCCAACTTATCTTCTAATGCGGATAAAAACGGCAGAGTGGAGAACTACGGGAGGAATATCATTCTAACCCTAACGGAAGCAAAGAATCCTTCGAAGGAGCCTTGCTGGCCACAGCGTGACTGGCTTCAGCCAGGCAAGGCTCCCCAGAGCCACGGGGAGTGTGGGGAGCAGAGGGACTGGGGCTCAGTCCTTCCCCCTCCGGACCGTGGTCCCACTGATAGCCATCCCTCACCACGCCGTGAACTATCATTAGATAAAAATATGTCTTGCAATTAGTCTTAAGTGGAGTTTGATGAGCTCTTTTCTGGGCGTCATAAGTGTGCAGAAAAGGCAAGCTCTGTAAATAACATTATGGAGAAAAGTGGCTGGTTTTCGCCCCACCCCCTCCCTATGTGAACTGCTGCCCGTTCGGCTGCCGACTCCCCCAAGCTGCCAGGTCTTATTTCATTTTGTGCGCATGTATGTGTACGTGCAGGTGTGCCAGCGCCCATGTGGAGGTCAGAAGATGACTTTCGGGAGTCGGTTTTCTACTGTGTAGGTTCCAACAATCTAACTCAACTCATGTAGCTGGGTGGTCAGAGCCTTGGCCTGCTGAGCCCACGAGACTGTTCCTGCTCTCGCACCTCGCCAGGCCATGGCCTCCTGCAAGAGGGCGATCAGCTCGTCTAAGAGCATTGCTGACATCTTCACGCTCGTGTGCTCATTAGGAACCATCTGCCGCCATCTTTGTGTGGGTCATTACGGCTGTCTGCAATGGTGACTTCAGCCAGCAAGTGACCCCAACCCTGAGACTTGTAGGCTGCTCGTGCTTACCTCCCCAAATTAACCAGTAAATAGCTTATTCTACACACATAGAATATACAAGTAGACCCCAGCATGCAGTGGGTTCCTGTCGCCTGTTTTTCCTTCACGGTTTTCAGTGGAGACTGTTCTGGGTTAGCATCATTCCTCATGCTAGCGCCTTCTCCTGATAGGAGGTGGTGGCAGCAAAAGCCGAAGCTCCCTGCCAGCCGAGCGGTTGTGAGAATAACGGCCCTGTGCCAGGCTGTGCTGTTCAGGAGGTCAGGTATATTTGTTGTATTTTTTTTTTTACTTACTGATATTTTCAACTCACAATGAGTTTATCAGGATCTAATCTCGTTATAAATCAAGGGGCATCTACACGTGGAGTAGAGACGTTCAGGCGTTTACTTTTCTCTTAGATTTACATTTCCTTTAGTTTTTTTTTTTTTTTTTTCCTTAACCGAACCAAAATTTTATATAGAACCTCTTAGAACACGTTTGAGTGTCAAATCTGGTAATTAACAAGTAATTATTGTAAAACTCCTAGTGAGGCAGGCGTGGAGGCACACATCTTATCCCGCCAGCAGTGGGGAGGCGAGAGGAGCACTCAAGTTTAAGTCTAGTCTGGGCTCCACAGGGAGATTTTGTTTTAGAATCGAAATCTGACCTCCTCCTAAAAGACCCAAATTTCTAGTCTCCCAGGGGTTCTCGGAAAACAAAACAAAAGAAAACAAAACATGGCATGCTTTACCGCTTGCATGCCAAGTAAAGGCCTCTCTCAGAAGGCTTCCCTCAAGAAGGGTGCCAGGTTCTCCTTAATCCAGCATTCCCTGGGCTTTCTACCCAGCAGGGCCCCTGCTGCTGCTCCATGGAAAAGCGGCTCCTTGAGCGTGCTGTATCCAATGAGCACATTCTGCCGACCGGGAAACCAGCGCAGAGGTGAGTGCTTTCCTCAGCTGACCAGGGCCTTTCCTTACATTCCTTGGGCTTTACGGCCGCTTCCTGGAAACCTACTGTTTCCCATCGGGTGGTCTATGGTGAAGACAGCTGTTGTCTCTCCTCTACCGCCAACGGGGCTGTGCTCAGTTACTTGCATTCTTTTGGGTGTCATTTCCCTGTAACTGAGATGTGCAAGAAAGACAACTGGGACTTGAGGTACAGCCTGCGAGGTAAGACTGACATCTGTCAACCCTCTGGCCCTGGCCTCTGGGTCTGAAGCAACAGAGGGCATGAATCTTCTCAACCATCATTCAGCCCGGAGGAAGGAACTTAGTGACTCTGGGTCTGAGAATGGATTACAATAAAACGATGTCTGGTCCTCTTTGGGAGGGAAGGTTGGGAAAGGGTTGGCTTGGTTATAGAAATCTGCAAGAGGTGAGTTTTCTCACTTAGAAAAAGAAATGAATCCAGCAGCTGTTCTCAGAAAAAGATGTTTGTCTCATGTTCTCTTATGAAATGTCTGCGTGCACTGCTGTAAGGGTCTAGTCGATATGTAAATTGTGCTTATTAGGGCCCACAGCCTGGTCGCCCCGCATTCTCAAGAGCCTCCTGGCTTTCCCCTGGTGCTACTCTTCACCTCTGAGCTCTTTCCCTGCCTGCAAACAGACTCTCCTGGTGGCAGAAACACAACTGAACAAATAACATTTAAACATTTTGATTCAGTGGGCGTGGTGGTGCACCCCCTTAATCCCAGCACTCAGGGAGGCAGGGGCAGGCAGATTTCTGTGAGTTCGAGGCCAGCCTCATCCAGAGGGAGTCCAGAACAGCCAAGGCTACACAGAAAAACCATGTTTAAAAAAACCAAAAATTAACCAACCAACCAACCAAACAAACAAAACCCCATTTCCATTTTGTGACACTGTCATGAATCCTAGTAGTGAAACCACTAACCAACCAACCACCAACTCTGGCTGTCCTGCTAGAGTGCAATCGTGCAAACTATTGTCACTGTTTGCGAGTTGCTGCACGATGATAAAGGTGGCCATTAACTATCCCCACCTTCAGTGAGGTAGGTCAAACCCTGTTAGGAATATATAAAACAAAGAGCCTTCTGGTGGGCTTTGTGAATGGGTATGTCTTCTGAATAAAACATAAGAGAATTATTTTCTTTCCAATTATCCTACTAAACACACTCCCGGCTGGCACATACCTCCTTAAGTGTCCCCGGAGTGCTGATCAGCCGGTAAACGATATAGGCGGGGATGCAGATGACAGACGACGTCCCTATGCAGTATCCCAAGACGATGCTCCAGTGGGGATAGTTATATTGGAAAAGCCGCAGTTGGGGCGGGCTCATCAGAAAACTGCAAATGATGAACTAAGACAAATTCCAAGAAACATTGAAAATCTTCAGCACATCTATGCAGACTGAGACCACAGAGATCAAATCTAAGAATCTACCAGGCTGTCTCCTAGATTGAACTCTTGAATCACACTATTACCAGCTTCGGTACCAACTAAAAACTAAACAAAACACACACACACACACACACACACACACACACACACACACAAAAGAAAAACAGTGACTCTCCTAGGGGTTTCTTCACCATCCCAGACCTTGGAGCCTACTGTGGGAATTACAGCATCTCTACAAAAACCCCAAAAGTCAGGAAGACACAGTGTCTCCCTCTGAGGAGAAGAGACTGGTACCCACAGGGACTGACAGCAGAGAGATGACTTGGATGGCCTTTCTGTTTCCCTCTGCTGACTGACTGACTGACTGACTGACTGAGGTGAGATGGTCCTCTCTGAAAGGAATAGTGGAAGGGAGAAAAGCAGCTTGACACATTTTTCACTTGAAAATTCATGTCTCTTAATGCCCCACGTACCATTTTCTTATTTTCAGTTTGGTTTCCAGAGTTAAGCATCAATATTTTTGGCCTAGGATCTACTGTGCTGAAATCATTATTGTTCTTAGTATAATTTTATTTGAGTGCTTCATGGTCATAAGGAAGACACTAATGTAAATTACTTGTGGGGTTAAACATCTATTTATATCTGTTTTTCCTTTGTCATCAGGTAATAAAACAGGACATTGTTAAGCAAGCAAACACCCTTCCTCTGAGCAGTGCTAGCCAGGAGTCCTGTCGAATGCAAACCTTGCTCCTGTCACAGGCTCCTTAGTCGCAGACCTGGCTACTGAGGAAGGGAGCTGGGAATAGAGGCGGAGATCTGATCAGGAGCTGTCCATGTGAGCACTGGGCTGTCTTATGGTGGGTGTGTGAAGTCCAGTTCCTTCGGGACTCAAGCTTGTTTGTTTTTTAAGACAGGGTTTCTCTGTGTAGCCCTGGCTGTCCTGGAACTCACTCTGTAGACCAGGCTGGCCTCGAACTCAGAGAGATTCACCTGCCTCTGCCTCCCGAGTGCTGGGCCTGAAGGTGGGCAACATCACTGCCCACCTGGCTGGCCCAAGTTCTTTTCTTCAGTGGCTTCCTAACTGAACCCTGCCTCTCTCTCCTCATACACACTATTTCTTGATTAATTATTTATTTTATGTGCATTGGTGTTTTGCCTGCATGTATGTCTGTATAAGGAGTCAGATCCCCAGGCACTGGAGTTACAGGCAGTTGTGAGCTGCCATGTGGGTGCTGGGATTAAACCACGGTCTTCTGGAAGAACAGCCGGTGCTCTTAACCTTTAAGTCATTCTTATTTATTTGTCCTTTTTTTTTTTTTTTGTAATTTATCTTCATTGAAAAAGAATGTTTTTAGTGAGTTGCCTGTTTACCTAAAGCATTCCTACGAAGCTGAGAGCAGGGGCCTGCTGATTTACATAGACATGGAAGGCAGATTTGCCTTCTCTCAGTCCAGCATGAAAGCACTTGCTTTGAGCCAGGGGTGGGTGGTGCACGCCTGTAATCCCAGCACTCAGGGAGGCAGAGGCAGGAGGATCGCTGTGAGTTTGAGGTCAGCCTGGTCTACAAAGTGAGACCAGGACAGCCAAGGCTACACAGAGAAACCCTGTCTTGAAAAACAAACAAAAAAACCAACAACAACAACAAAAAGCTCTTTCCTTAGGAGGACTGAAGTAAAGTGACTATTGTTTGGGGTCATGAGGAATGCAGCTGTGTGGGTGTTGCTAGGTAAGAAAAGACACTCACTGACCATGAACCTCCAGAAATTAAAAAAAAAAAAAAAAAAAAAAGCCCCAGGCCTCAAGGCCCAGACAAGAATGAAGTGTGTAGGCACGGTGTGTAAGGGGAAGCCAAAATATTTTAGTATAATCCGTCAGAGGTAGGACCTGATGGGGCCCGATTAGGGTGCGGCAGATTAAGCCAGGTAAGGAAGTCCCCCGGATTCAGGGATCAGTTCCAGTCTTTGGTAATACAGAAAAGCCATACAAATGACATTTTAAAATATTGCATTAGGATCGTTTCTATCTTGAGAACCAGTGTGCTTGGCTCCCTTAGGTTTTGTGTGTCCTAGGGAGGGCCTCCTTTGCCTCTCCCCTGAATGGGCCCCGGACACTGCTTTCTTTCTGGGTGGGGAATGTGAGAGCACACAAACAAAGCTGCCTCTGCCTTCAAGACGTTAATCTAACGTGACTTCTTCCTCTGAGAAACAAAGGAAAGGGTTTAAGTGGATTATCAAGAGGCATAGGTATTAATAGAGTTAATGACCTATTTGTGTCATGGTGGACAGAGAGCCTCAGTCCAGCCCTCAATGTAAAAGCCACTGAAACTGCCAGCTGCATGAGGATTTGCCTTCAATCCCAGCACTCTAGAGGCAGGGGGCTCAACGTGAGTGGGAGGCTAACCTGGGTCTATGTAGCGAGTTCTAGGCCAGCCAGGACTACAGAGCAAGACCCTATACAGACAACAAGAAAAAAAAAAAAAAAAACCTTTTGGATTTAAAACACTAGACAGCATGGTAGTGCATTCCTGTAGTCCCCACTCGAGAGCTGAGGTGAGAGGATCTCTTGCACTAGGTTCAAGACCAGCAAACCTTGTTTAAAAAAAGTAGTTTTGATTTGGGCTAAAAGCATCAGGCAAGCAATGAGCCGGCAAAGCAACCTGGAGCTACTGGCCTGAAACCTGAGAAAGTTCACAAGCCAGGGCCTGCACGGGAGCCTCTGGGCTGAGAAGTTTGCTGCTCAAGGCAAATGTTTGCAAATGTTTGCAAATGTTTGTGGAGTGTAGGACAGTAAAGGCTTCTGGGGACAGACGCATGGGGTGTCACAGAGGCAAAGATAAGCAGCTGGGCCATCATACATACATAAAACTTAATCCTGAGATGCATTGGTTGCTTGGAGCGGAGAGCAAAGGTTCTGCCTCAAGGAAAAGCACTTGGAGGGGATGAAGAGGTGTTTGAGGAGAGAAGGGACAGAGTGTGCTAAGGCCTGAGACACCTGGGCTGGCCCAGATGTTCTCAACAAGCTGAGAAAGATTCATGGAATGATCTAACCCGTTTTTTGGCTTTGAAGGGTCAAAAAATGTCCCCTCTCAATAAAGTTATATATAAATAATAAAAAACTGAGAAACAGTCCCTGTGAATGCACACAGCTTGGGTCTATCCCAGGCTGCCTCAGTATGCACTTGAGAAGTTATTAGAGCATTGTCCATCTCTGGGCCTTAGGAAGACACTTGGAGAGAAGATGGTAGGATACATAAATTACATCAGAGGATACACTAAACCTGTCTTGAGCAACCCTTGACACTCAAGCTTCTTTTCTTTTGGTTTTTTTCAAGACAGGGTTTCTCTGTGTAACCCTGCTTTCCTAGAACTTGATCTGTAGACCAGGCTGGTCCCTAACTCAGAGATCCACCTGCTGCTGCCTCCCAAGTGCTGGGATTACAGGCATGCACCACAGCTGCCCTGTTAGCCCTCAGCTCTCTTATCCAGGCCCTTTGACAATAGCTGAATTCTACTTTGACCCTGACCCAAACGTGGGGACTGTGTGTGTGCCTCTTCAAGGTGCACGTCAAATTGTTAAGTATGAGCCTGCCGGGACCCCTCTCAGGACCAATACAGTGTGTCCTTCCTTGGTCTTCAGTAGTTTTTGTCACATGATTTTAGTGACACTAAGCCTCAGTTTCCTTAAAAGTTCATCAGACGCACCAAGCCAGGTACAGCGGCTCATGCCTGTGATGCCAGCACTTGAGAGACAGGAAGGTCTCAAATATGAGGCCAGCCTGGGCTACATATAGCATTCCAGGCCAGCTCGATCTACAGACAAAGGCTATCTTAAAGCAACACGAAACCCCGACCCCACCACCTTGCAGAACTATAAAGATTAAAAGGTCCACGGTGTGAGTCTGGAACAAAGCTGGCTGTAGCACTTCCTGCTCTGTAAATGTTCGTGATCATTATTGTTTGCAGGGATGCTATGCTAGCCACCCTAACATTCACAGTCAGAAACAGGTGAGCAGTGGTAGACAGCTGCTGCGGGGCCCCAACACAGGGGCCTCTTGGAGCATTAGTTTATATTTGCCCCTTGATGTGGTTTTTGTCCATACAGTGGTACTGGATTTGTAACTCTGAGGTGCGTACCCTCAGCCAGCATGCTCTGATGTCTGTGTTACCCTTCACTGGTGCCTGGACCAACAAGGCAGAAGTGACAACTCACCAGGAGAAACAGGGGGCTGATGGCCACCCAGCAGATCCTCCAGAACCATCCCGGGCTGAAGCCAAGCATCTCCTTCACGTCACTGCAGAACTGACTGATCCCTGGAATCACCCAAAGGAGAATTTGAGAGGACATGAAGTTTCGTCCCAAGGCTTGGAGGCGGGGTCCACGGGGTCAGCCCTGGCAAGGGCAAGGACGGGAGTGGGGGCTCCTCCCTGAGCCTGAGGACTCGCTCGGGCACTCCACACAAGGGGCTCAAGGGGCTCAAGGAAAGCTGATAACCAACTAGGAATGCAAGCCTTCCATCGGTGCCCACGCTACAATTCTCAGCCTGGATTAATTGTGGTGTTATTGATGGGAGAAACTGACTTTAGTTAGTAATGGTGAGCCTGCTTGGCAGAAACCAATAGGACTGTCCACTGGCAATTTTAAAAAAGATTTATGTGTTTTACCTACGGAAGAAGGTGTTGGGTCCCCTGGAACTGGAATTACAGCCATTTGTTACTTGCTGTGTGGGTGCTGGGAATCAACCCAGGTCCTCTGGGAGAGCAGCCGGGGCTCTTAACCTCTGAGCCATCTCTCCCAGCCCTTCAAGGGAAATGTTTAACCACAGTATAGCTCATCCCTACGCCAGGTCAAGCTCCGGGCTCTTCTGTAAAGGATTACTGGCACTAATGTGAGAATGCCCACTGGCAGGTGAGAAATGAGTGTTCCCAGCTGCTTCCTCCAGAGCCCTGAGCTTCCTCCGCAGGTCTGCTGTGAATTCTGGCCTCTGAACTGCTGGGGAAGTAAAGGTAATGTCTTTTCTCTTAAAAAATTGGGTCCTAGCCGGGCGAGGTGCTGCACGCCTATGATGCCAGCACTCAAGGCAGAGGCAGGCAGGTCACTGTGAGTTCAAGGCCAGCCTGGTCTACAAAATGAGTCCAGGACAGCCAAGGCTACACAGAGAAAGCCTGTTTCGAAAAAAAACAAAAGTAAACAAATAAAAAGAAAAACTTGGGTTCTGAATTCAGTTTGCAGAACCCATGACTGGAACAGCCTCCTCCACGTCCAGCCTCAGGGAACTCGTACTCTCCTCTGGCCTCTGCAGGTGTCTACACACACACGCCACACAACTAAATCCTGTACTTCATGTGCTCTCCCCTCTGTCTTCACCGTGTGCATCATGACTGCGACTGAGTGCAGAGGTTGGAAAGCAAATGTGTTTCCGGGACGAGACCTCTGCTTCCCCATCACAAAGCCTCGTCTCAGAACCTAAGTTCACGTCCATGCCCTCGGCTAACGCTTCTCGGGGCCCGAGGAACCTCTGCCCATTAATCTCAGCTCACTTCCTGTACCTCCTCTCACCCTTGTCAGAGTCCATCCCGGGACAGGAGGGAGGGACCTGGGGTTCTCCAGTGCAGAGACAGCAAGCACATTCTCACCTTGTGGTGGAGAGGGCCCAAGCTCTGAGAAGGGGCCACCCTGGAGAAACACGACCCTGAGTGCTCTAACAGTAATGCGGTGCACGTTGGCTCTCAAACCACCACCGCAAATATTAAAAAAAAAAAAAAAAAAAAAAAACCGGGGTGTGGACAAGGCTCCCCCTCAAGGGTGTGGCACCTGTGGGACAGCACAGACAGCGGTGTATGGCCACAGAAGGCCCTCCTCGGAGATCATCGCATCCGCTGCCCCTTCCCATCCTCCCCGATGAAACTAGCGCCTGTCCACATGCAGGCGGAGGGGAGGGTAGAAAGGGGCTTCTTACCATAGAACCACGACACGGCCACGGCTTCAATGAGGGCCACCGTGAGCACCGCAGGCCCCGTGGCATACTCCTCCAGCAGCGCCACCACGTACGCCCCTCCCTGGGGACAAGGTCACAGACATGGTTAACGGTCTCCTGAGGTGCAGCTACACCTCTTTACAAAGGCCAGCAGGGGCTTCTGCATACAGGGAGGTACTGGGTGATTCTCGCTCCGGACTCGGGAGCTTCCTTGTGGAATGGCCTTTGAATGTGTGCCCATCTGACACCATTTTTAAAAAAATGGTGCTGAGAACTGAACCCACAGCCTTGGGGCATGCTCCCCTCCGTCATCCTTGTTTTATCCGCTACACTGTAAGAGACAAACTCTAAAGAGCCTATATAGCCACTCTGAGCCTACTGAATACTTCCTGTCTGCTCAACCTTGGAGAACACACAACTTTAAAAATCTGGAAACCAGGCATGGTGGCGCACACCTTTGATCCTGGCGCTCAGGAGGCAGAGCAGGCTGGTCTCTGTGAGTTCTAGCCAGCCTGTGTGGCACCAGATACCCAAGTGCTTTGGTCACAGCTCCATGCCTTTACTTCTCACTTCTGACTCCTCTGAGACCTATGCAGCCCTGCCCTGCCCTCCCCCACCCCTGGCAAAGCGAGCTTGAAGAGGCCTATCAGTAACATCTGGCTTGAGCCAGCAGCACGCAAGCCCATGACGTCACGGTATCTGATGGATGCTTTCCTGTATCTGCCTTGACTACTGAATGAAGGGATGGGGAGGGGAGAAGACAGCGTGCCCCCTGGGGAGCCTCTGGCTTCTTTATTGCAAGCTCTAAAGTTGTTGAAGTGGCATTATATATGTAGGACAGCAGCCTCACATCACGATACGAGGGCAAAGTAGCCGTAACAGTGCCTCTAAAAGGCAGAAATGGCTGGAAACGCAAATCCTAACTTCCTTCCAGGTATTTTTGCCAAGCCTGAAATATAATTGGATCTGTTGCAAAATGCTAGGCCTTCTGACGCCATGCACAGATCTACCAGCAGAGACTGCCGAAAGTAACTTTTCTCCTTGGTGACAAACTTTTCAGTGCCGAAAACTGAACCCGGGATCTCACACGAGCTAGGCAGGCAACTAACTCTAAGCCGAGGCTTCACGCCGTGATGAGCTTTTCAATAGTGCTAGCGACACCCTTTTAGGTGCCCAAGTGAGGACACTGTGGAAGTGGATAGGAAGGGTCCATTCTGCCGGTGGAGTCCTAGTGACCCGGCAGAGGCCACTTGGAGCCAAAGGCCCTGCTACTCACAGAGGTCAGTGTGAGCAGGGATCCCAAGACGCAAATAATGACCAGGATGAGCACAAACCACTCCCGGCGCTTGGCCCAGATGTGTGGGGACTCATCCAGCACAGCGGTGATCACACCTTCCAGGCCTGCAAACTAAGGGATACATGCGGACAGTGAGGAGGAAGAGAGATAAGACAATGAGCCGTCAAGCCGATCCAGACTAGTTCGCCCATTCACTGGCCCATGAACACAGCTAGAAGCATATTTCCATCTGATAGCCCTATCAGAACCCGTCACTTAGGATATGCAGACAAGAAAAGGCAGCACGCGGAAGCATTGGTGTCTTGGGGAGGCTGGTTGCCCCAGGGCCAGCTCAATGCCCGTACCTTCTCTGAGCTGAGCCTTCAGGTGCCATCAGGTTTACCTAGGAATTCATACATGCTAAGCTTTCCCTAATTATGCCACTAATAACTCCCAGTGCAAAAGGTGCCATTGCTGAGGGGTGGACAGGGGGATGGAATGGGGATGAAGAAGGGAAGAGGAGGGGGAGGAGGAGGGTGAAGAAGGGAAGACCAGTGGGAGGAGGGAGAAGAGGGGAAATTACCCAGAGGGAGCAATCAGTACCACCTGAGGGTCTGGGTGGGAAGAAGTGAGCCTAGCCACTTCCTGTTCCCTTTTCCTCTTGTCCTACCAGACCCTTTTCCGTCTCCACTCACCGTGCTATCCAAGCCCAGCGTGATTAACATGAGGAAGAAGATGATGGCAAAGAATGTGGATGCTGGCATGTTGGCAATAGCCTCTGCATACGTGATGAAAAGGAGGCTGGGGCCTGGAACAGAGGGAGAGAGGAGGAGTGCTGACATCTCTACCAAGCTATTGCATACTAGGTCTGGGCTAGTTTACAGTCAGCACAAATGTTTCTTCACACCAGACATTTTGCAAAGCCAGAGGGAAGATCGTCCGCCTTGAAAACCAGGCAACTGCAACTGGGGGGAGAGGAGACTTGATACTGCAACTAGCACAAGCCCAACCATGTAAGACCTTTGTTTTTAAGGGACCTTGTGATGTCAGCTCAGAATAGCAGGAAGTGTAATAAGGACCTCCCGCTACTTTTAAAGTCACCCCCTCTTTTTATATTTGGGGTGCTATGGACAGAGCTCCAGCATCTGAGCACCAAGTGCTCCACTACACCCCCAGCCCTTAAAGACCTTTTGTCAGTGTGCTGGGACTCACCCCCTCATGGGTTAACTAGGGATGCTATCACTTGGTCAAAGCGCTGAATCAGGCCAAAGTGCAAATCTTTCTCCAGGCCCTGGGACTCCATCTCCTTGGTCTCATTGTTTAATATCTGTTGCATTATTTCCCATGAAAACATTAAGCGGCATGGTCACATTAGTGAGATCTCTTCTCTCAGCAAGGGGACTTCCAAGGACTAGTAGTCATTTGCCTGCTAGACTGGACCCCAGCACGAGTGCCCAAACCCACTGGTTTTAAACCTACCATTCAAGCCATGTTTTAAGCCCATCATGCACTGAAGGCCCCAGCACCAGGCACTAAGGAAACTAAATGCATGGGTGGGCTGAGACCACTAAGAAAATTAAGTTTCTTCCAAATCTTTGAAAACTTAAAAGAACAGTTGAGAAGTTTAGATATTTGTGAAGATTCAAAGGAGGTCAGTCCTGTAAGCAGAGCCCCAGGTCCTACCGGCGTCTCTGGCCACCTCAGACACGTCTTCGTTCCTCATCTCAGCCATGTAGCCAAGGACCGTGAAGATGACAAAGCCGGACATGAAGCTCGTCAGGCAGTTTACCACGCTGGTCACCAGGGCGTCTCTGGAGTGGAGAGCCCAGGCTGTCTGAGATACTTCCAGGGTAGGGAGCCTAAGACAGGCCTCCAGCCCAGCCTGCCCCCATCTCCCAGGGCCCTGTCCCCGAACACTGCCTACACACACAGAGTGGGGACGGGCAGGCCAGGGATGTTCTGAGACATGGACAAAAGTCATGTCACATACGTCTAATCCCATCCCTTTGCAGGCTGAGTGAGGCGGGTGAAGAGGGGGATCGTGAGTTCAAGGCCAGTATGAGCTACAGAGCAAGATTCGAGAGGGGGTAGCCTGACTCTGCTGTGAAGCAGCACAGCACAGACCTCTTCGCTTCAGCCAGGAGAGGCACTGCCCTGGAGCAGAGCCTTAACTGGGGGCTCCAGTAAGGACCCCACATTTGTAAAATCAAAAATTTAATATTATCTTTAAATAAAGCCAAAAGACTGCCAAGGGGAAAGCTTGACAGTTTTAAAACTTCATTACATAGCTTTAGCTGGGATCCCAACACAAGGCCACATTCTAATGAATGTGTATGTGTGAACTGGTCCCCCATCTTTAGAAACAATGAATCTCATAGGTATTTTTCTAATAGTACAAGTGGACTGCAGGACATTGCCTCCTGTGCAGGAAGATTTACTGCCTGAACACGAGTGATGCTCAAGCCGTCACGGGCACAATGCTGCTGTCCCGTTAAAACATCGAAGCATGCCTCTCCACAGTCACGGCAGTTTCTGTAAGCTGAGCTGGTTCAATCACTATGCTTTCTGTGTCTAAACAGTTAACTGGTTTACAATTTTCATCGAGAAGCCTATTCCCTGGTGCATGCTGCATTTTTTTGTAACCGTGCTGCAGCATATCCTTGTTCTGTTTGCTTGCTTGATTTGCTACCTGTCTGGTTTTAGGCAGGATCTCGTGGAGCCCAAGCTAACACCAAACTCAGTACGTAGCTGAGGCTGGCCTTGAACCAGCCTTCTGTCTCCACCTTCCAAGTTCTGGGACTATGGGAATGTACCCTGCCAATTCAGAGTTTCATATATATATATGACTCTCACAAACAGAAGTGTCTTGGAGACTTTCTCAGCCTCTAAATAGTCTGGATAAAGTTAGTTCCTGAAAGGACACTATAAAAAGGATGAATGGCCAAGGGCCCCTGACAACCCTGAGGGGCAGCGCCCTCATGGTCACTCCATTCCCAAGCTTTGCTGGGTGTCCCCACATACTCACTGGTAGCAGTTGTTGTTGAACTTGTTGTAGCTAGCAAAAGCCAGGAGGACCCCAAAGCCGGGCCCCAGAGAGAAGAAGATCTGAGCGGCAGCATCTACCCACACCTGGAACACAGCAGGAGAGGGCATGAGGTGAGGGGGTGAGGACAAGGAGGGGGTGAGGGCCTGGGATGAGGGGGAGGGTAGAGAGAAGGGGGTAAGGGTGTGGGGTGAGGGGGAAGGACACTGGGGGAGGGAGAGGGTGTAGGGGATAGGGGAGCAAGGGGAAGGTGGGGTGAGGGCAGGGATGAGAAGGGAGGGTGGAAGGGTGAGAAGGGAAGGCGGAAGGAAGAGGGGAGAGGGAGGAGGGGAGAGGGAGGAGGGGAGAAGGAGAGGGAAGAGGGCGGTCACCGCCAAAAGCAGCAGCTTCCTGCTAAGTGACCTCAAGATGCCGTGGTCTTGGCCCTTGTATTTCTGATTGAAAGGATCATTACAGGCGTGAACACTGGATGTGAGCTGTCACTACTGTCCTATTTGAAAGCCAATGGCTTTCTCTAGTAAAAGCCAGACAAGCGAGTGCTATTTCCCTCAGGCTCACCCCGGTCTCCAGGAGTTTCTGCCAGTTGGGTTTCAAGTAGAAGATGACCCCTCTCCAGGCTCCAGGAAGGGTGGCTCCCCTCACCAGCAGGACAGACAGGACGATGTAAGGGAAGGTGGCTGTCACCCACACCACCTGGAATGAAGGAGACAGAAACACAGGTTATTGCCATGATTTCCCAGGCAGCAAAGAAGGAAGGTGGCAGGTCAAGGCAGGCAGGCGGTGCTGTCCTTGACTGCTGAAGACCACTAGGCTAAAAGAATTTTGAAAAAAGTATATAATTTGTATATGTGCTTGCACAGATGTGTGGAGACCAGAGGTTGACATTGGATATCTTAGTTGGTCTCTCACTGAGCCTGGCGCTCACCCATTCAGTTAGACAGACGGACCAGCAAGCCCAGGGATGCCCCTATCTCTGCCTCCTGCCCCCAGTGCTGGACAACTATACACGCATGCATTTCTGCACTCAGCTTTTACCTGAGTGCTGGAGAGTGCTAGAGACCCACACTCCATCTTCACTCTTCTGTGGCAAGTGCCTCACCCGCTGAGGTGTCTCCTGCCCCTACGCATTTTAAATATAGTTATAAAGGGGACACATTGTGCCTTCATTTGCTTAGATGTGCTTACATATAAGTGACATTGGTTAAGTTCTAGAACCTCCTAACAGATGTGATGAAGGAAGTATCAAAGAAGGAATGTGCTTGGTGTTGAGGCAAACTGATTTTCTCCTGCTCACTAGCTGTCCAGGATAATGGTCTTGAGCTTTGTGGGGCCTTAGCGATTCCAGGACAAAAACAGCAGAGTGTTCCTCACCTTGCCAGATGTTTTGATGCCTTTCCAGATGCTGAAGTAGATAATGGTGAAGATGAGCATGATGCAGAGAGCAAGTTGCCAGCTGATGGCCCCCAGGTCCTGGAGTCCCTTAGATTGGTGGATCTGCAGAACATGGCGCCTGGAGTGACAGGAAGAAGAGCCTGTGAGAGAGCCACCTGAGCACAGGATTGTGCGACCTCTAGACCAGCATGAGCTTCAGGAGGGGCTGGAATGGGCCTCACTCATCCTGAAACGGCAAGCGGCACATTCGCTGGACGGCCCCGGGAGGCACACTCAGCCCAAAGCCAGACCTGCCCTCCTCTTCCACTGTCTGTAACCAGAACCTCTCCACCAACACGACCAGCTCCCCAGTACGCGGGAATGTTTGTGCAGGCAATGAGCCCTTCTTCGCTCTAAATTAGTACTGTGTCCAGGCCACTATTGCCTACAGTTCCTATATCAAAAGTACCACTGGGCCAAGGAATAGCATACCAGAAGAACAAATTGCATAGCATGTGTAAGACCCCATGTTGAATCCTTAACACGAGAAAAAAAAAAATCCTACATTCTCCAAGAGTCTTCTGAAAGGTAGGTCCCACTTACAAAGTCAGCACCACCAGCTAGGGGGTAGGGGCCCACACGTTTAAACCCAGCACTCAGGGGGAAGAGGCAGGAGGATCTCCGAGGCCAGGACTATACAGAGAAACCCTGTCTCAAACACATACACACACACACACACACACACACACACACACACACACACACACACA